GAATAGGCCTGTTGAAAATTACTCAAGTGAAAGTGTGTAGGATTTCTGTTTGTTACCTTGTTGGAAATAGTGCACAGTGAATGCATGTTTGTTTGCGCTTGAGTTTTTAGTAATGATTTACACTTAAAGAAATGTAATAAATCTCCCATGTAATATTTTAGTTAACATTTTACTAATGTACAATTCAGAGGTGTAGGAACTCGTCTGTGTAACATTTCACTTCATAAATAACTGTACACATTTCAGGGTATATTTGATGATGTAAAATTTCAGTTTGTGTGTGTGTGCTATACAGTACAAGTGGATAGGAGATGTTTTGTGTAACATACAGATGGTGATGATATTGTGTATGATCTAACTAAAATACAACTGATGTAGTTTATGATAGTGAACATATAGTTTGTTCATGATGGTAATCATATAGTCCTCTTTTCCCAATTTCCTGATTGTGAAATTCATTAAAAAAAAAGAGAAAAGATGCCATGTTCTCAGCTTTCAGAACTGTACATAAATGATTGTATAACTTGTATGCTGCATTTACTGTAATGTTGTTTTATTATCTGTAAACAGGTTATTTATATTGTTGGTTTCTTTTGCTAGTTGTGACACCTCTGATATTGTACTGTGTACAAGACTTTATCCCATTGTCAAAAATGTGATGTTGTAATGAGTATTCATCTTTCATTCAATAAAGTGTATTTATTATTATTAGTCATTTATGTGAGACAGTACATAACTAAGTATTTGTTTAAATCTTAAATGGAACTACTCAGCATATCATTTTTAATTATTTGTTTTATTCCTGCTGTAAGGTTCTGTCTGTTTGCAATGATGTCTATAAGTAATATGTTTATTGCAGGTATTTCAGTCATTCATTTCCTACATGTCATTTGTTTATTGTATCTGCCATTTGTTTATAAAGCAAACTTTTATTTTAACCAGACATTAAGATTACAGAGGTGCTGCCCAGTAGCCAAGAGATAGGAGGCAGTGCTAGAGATCGTGTGTTCTCACCACTATTGAGAAGCAAGAGTTTACAGAGTTCACCAACTGTTCATGAGAGAGGGTTTCATCAGGCACCTCCAGTTGCCCAGAGATCTGTCGACCAAACACAGGAGTTGCAGCACAAAGTATGGAACCCTCCAGCTCGAAGTACTAGTGTAGACGCTGGTACTAAAAGAATACCCATTGCAGTTCAACACGTGGGCCCAAGTGTTCCTAGTGGCAGCTCTTACATAACTCAACAGCGTCCTCGACGTTACAGCGAAGAAGATCACTCATTTGCCCCTGGAGTCGGACCAGGACCTTCAAAACTTTCGTCCTCATGGCAGAGCTCTCATGACGGTTACTTCCCCTTTGAAGACAACAGGGGAAGAGACTTTGCACCTGGCTCATACGCTACTCTGCCAAGCAAAGGAAGCAGACAGAGAGCCCAGCGTGAAACTTTCGACCAAAGTGATGCCAGCAAACTTGACTTTGACTACACCAACACATACTCCACCCTTCCAGCCATCAAACCTCTCAAGTCTAGCAGTATCCAGCAACCATTTAGTGAAACAAACTCATCAGATGACAGTCAGCACATCAAGACCAGCCAGAGCTTTGACTATGGCCAGAATCGCCGGGACCTGGAGCACACTTTAGACTACAAGGACTACTCAAAACCTCTCTACGCAGACACTAACTTTGGTAACTTGCGACAGTCATCAGTCAGCAGCCAGGAAGATGGGCACTCTCCACATTCTGACAATGCTGTATCTAGCTCAGATTCTCGAGACACCATAATTGCCAAGGACGAAAAATCATCTGCCGATTCAATCCCAGTAGAAATACCCACAGAGATGAAGTCTGAAGGGAAGCCGGCGGTGGCTGCTAAACCAGCAGTCTCTCCTAAGCCAACCCAAGGTGTGAAAATGATCCCAATAACAGTAGTCCATGAACAGTCCTCACAGCCAGCACCTGTCTCAGCTTCATCGTCATATGAATCTTCCACGCAGAGAGCTCGAGGTAATACCAGCTTGAACAGGCAGCATGAGCTTATTTGCATGGATGAGATAACCTCATTGACATGAATGAGATAACCTACCTCAAAGAATGAGATTTGAACAGCTTGCATGTACTAAATATGTGTTTGCATGCTCACAGAAGCCAGTAAGCTCCTGATTATATGCCTAATATGAAATATGTAACCAGCATGATTTATTTATTAAACATGTTATTGTTTGTAGAATATTGTGTCTTGATCATTTAACATGATGCAGTGATTGTAGAGTATGTTGTGTCTTGATAATTTAACATGATGTCCTGATTGAAGAATATGTTTTTTTTTAATTTAACATGTTGTCCTAGTTGAAGAATATGTTGTCTTGATCATTTAATATGATGTCCTTATTGGAGAATATGTTGTTTTTGTTCATTAACATGCTGTCTAATCGAAGAATATGTTGTCTTGATGATTTAACATGTTGTCCTGATTGAAGAATATGTTGTCTTGATGATTTAACATGTTGTCCTGATTGAAGAATATGTTGTCTTGATGATTTAACATGTTGTCCTGATTGGAGAATATGTTGTCTTGATCATTTAACATGCTGTCTAATCGAAGAATATGGTGTCTTGATGATTTAACATTTTGTGATTGTAGAATGTAAATCTTTGTCTTAAAATCTGTAGTTTTGATTATTCCAGTGTTGCTTTGATCCTAGAGTATGTTATGCAGTGTAAAAACATTCAACTGTACACATCATTGATTCTTATATTCACCTGAGTTTAGGATTACAGTGAAGAATGTCTGACCTCATATCACAGAGACTATTGAAACAAACACGCTGCTTTCTTTTTAATGTGTTGTTTTTGATTGCAAATTCATTGTTTATATCACTGACAGAAATGTTAATGAAAATATTCTTAGAGTTTCACAAGCATGTTTTACCAGTTATGTTTCATCCGAGTTTGACAGGCATGTTTAACCAACTGTGTATGTTTAGAGTTTGCTTTCATGTTTAACCAGATGTGTTAATGTCTGCGAGGTCTGAGCTGCCAGCAGGGTATTTTGGTATGTGGAGTAAAAGATGTTGCTCTCTTGAGCACAAAGAAGAAGGAATTATGAATGCCTTGTTACATGCTCATGAAACAGGTAGATCATTACAGTCTGAGGAGAATGGCACTGTGAAGAGTTACAAGGGGGTCTGGCTGATGCTTGATGGATATACAATCAGACAGTACTGGTACCATCAGAATTTTAACTCTTGGCTTGCTGCTGGAGATAGGGATGGAGCGCTAATGGGAGTTTCCCGAGTGCTGTGATGTCAATTCTTAATTCAACATGCTCAGGAAAATGTCTGTGTGTGGGTCAGCACACATCTGTCTGCTTCTGTGGAAGGGCAGAGTTTTACCACACCCACAAAGCTATACATAGATTTACCTAATCTTGACTGTGTATGTGTGTGTGCGTGTATGTACACGCATGCATGCACTCATACACATATGCAGACAGCTATGTTAAAGTAACACTGAGACCATAAGAGGAAAAGTTGAAGAAAAAAGCCTAAGTAGATGTGAAATTAAGGCTTAAGATATCTTAACCAAAAAACTAATTAAGGTAAAAAGTAGCTTAACTATTAAGGATAGCAGAAAGATCAGATAAAGCTAAAAGTATTCTGCACTCCTATGTTGAATGGATAGTGCAGGTAAATCCGGTATTCATACCTGGATAAACTGATTCAATGGAGATTGAGCAGGGGGTCGGGTCAACGCTCATTGGAAAATGTTGGCATACTTTTAATCAGGTTATCTTGCAGACTAAAGAAAGGTAAATCCTTGATGGTCTAGACTGAAAAAAGCTATCAAAAATGTCTACAACATTAAAGAGATTATCCTAGAAATGGAATGAGTGAAAGTACCAGGAGGGCAGAGAGGAGCTGTACAAGGTGGTAACTACTTTGGGAACAGGATTTCAGGGAATAGGTGGTGAGACATGCAGACACAGAGGTTAAACAGCTGACAGAGGACAACTCTAGGCCAGGAGATTTAGTCGTATTCACTGATTAGACAACTCTAGGCCAGGAGATTTGGTCGTACACACTGATGGGTCAGTGGTCGGGGACAGGAAGAGTGGATAGGGCTTCATTGCAAAATCACAGGGAAGAAGGATGAGATCATGGCTAGGGCTATTAAACTGGCAGCGCACAAGCCAGATTTGGCCACGGAGGTCAGCAATTGGCTCATGGATCACTTCTAATTGTATTGTATTAATGATCTTTTAATGCTGGGGTTTCGGCCTCTGGCCCATGAGGATCTGCATTTGCAAAATATTGGCCCCTGAGTAAACTGAGTTGAATAGCCCTGGCATATGCCATTACGACATCCAGCATGAGAATTGAAGTTGAGGCTGTTAACTGTAGCATTCCTATCATAGTATCGAATTCACAAAGCATGCTCAGGAAGGGACAATCTTGTTTTCTTTAAATGAAATAAGTTGCATCAATCTAGAGGTCGCAGAGTGTGAGAGCCAAATGCATATTTTGATCAGGCCATGGTTATGCAGGCATGTTTGGGAATTGGCAGGCAGATAGGTTGGCTGGTCTGGAGGTGTACTGCAACTGCACAAAGCAGAAGTGATCTCTCACCTGTTGGATGAGGTAACAGGTAAAATGGAATATACTTAACGCCTGCACCAGGAGAGAATATGCAACAGGGAGTGTCTAGAAAGTCAAGACTAGTAGTTAACCATATGACCATATGACAATGGGCACTATCAGTAAGAAGACTCTTCGCTTGCTGTTAAGGAGGGAGACATTGAATCTGTATCCAGTTAATCAGATTACCAAAGGCACACTCAGCCTGGGAATACTTTTTGACCAGTATTTAGCATGGTTGCAATGTTGCATTGACATTAACATTGACTGACATTACTCTTGTTGGCAGTGCTTCTAACTATTTTGATTTTGATTCAGTTTATTTCTTCTGTTTCCTGATTGTTATTCCTATTCTCCTCACAGGATCTGATGTCCAAGATTCATTTTCCACTCTACCTCCATCGAAGCCTGGTCAGCCTTACACGTTTCCTGGTGAGTTGATTTTTAATGTTGTTTTCCTGGATTTGCATCTTGTCGTCATAGGCTTCAGGTAGAAACACTAAATGAAGATTGATTTTAAACACAGAAAAATAGAAGCCATCACATTCTCCAAGTAAACTCATAGATTTATCAGTTTAAACCAATACAATACATTATACGTCTTGGTTACAAAATGATTGTTGTTCTTCTTTTTTTTTTCTTCGTCTTTTTTTTCTTATTCTCCTCCTTCCATCTCCTGTTCTTCATTCTCCTTTATCTCCTGCTTCTTTTTCTTCTTACTTCTTCTTACTTGTCATCCTTATTCTTTTCCTCCTCTCACCCTCCCTCTGCGTTTCCAGTGCAAAACAAAATATACAGTAATGATAAATATAGAATTATCTGTAAAATGGAAAATACAATGTATAAAATGTACAGAAAAAAAAACCAGAATAAAGTTAATACAATAAAGAGTTTATTTGCACAACATCAAAGCTAGTAACAACAAGGTTATCAGGAATGTGATATGAGAATAGATATAAAAGGGATATTTTATCTGATGTCTGAACATTTATCTACAGATTCCCTTAAGCTTGTACCTGATATACTGTTGAGTTTTGAGTTGAGTCTCCATTACCGATATGGTGTGTAATACAGAAAGCTCTGGTGTTAATTTTAAAAAGTTCTGCCTGCCAGGTTTTTGCCACTGAAGCATTATTCCTTATCTTTACTAGGGCTTGAGTCATCCTTTGAGAATGTTCAAGGCATGAAGTGTTGTAACTCTTTCTGTCTTCATGTACCTTAATTGCTTTCTTGGGTGTGTTATGTTAGGTTTATTTTGTGACATGTCTGCTTGTCCTTTGTAATATTACTTTTATTGTGTGATTTGTATTTTGTAATGTTACTTTTATTGTGTGACTTTGTTTACTTGTATTATATACTGATTCTTAGGGTGTTCAGTGTCCATGTTTGAATATCATGGGGGATTCTCAAAGTGGTCACACCATTATCGTGTGCATACTTTACACAAAAATTGTTTATGTTGGTGTGAATGTAGTTTTCTCTCAGCTTGTGTGAATCTATTTTTTTTTAATTGATTGTGTGAATCTAGTTTCCTTTTAGATTCTGTGAATCTAGTTTCCTTTTAGCTTATTTGAATATATTTTTCTCTTACATATGTGAATGTTTCCTTTTAGTCTGTGTGAATCTAGTGTCATCTAAACATTGTGAATATTATTACACTTCTGAAAAACACTGTATATTTTTCCAGATAAGCCGCATGAACATCGTCAGAATGGTCCATCCTCCAATGAATTCCATGGAATAGGCCACCCCACACAGAGATCAGGTACAGGCAGTTTTAACTTTGCCCAGTAATACAACCACCCCACAAGTAAATATAATCTAACAACATCTCTTGTTCAGTCATGACAAATACCACCAGCCCTTGTTCGTACTGCCATGACATTCCAACTACCAGTCATTGTTCATACAATCAAGACACACATACTACCAGTCATTGTTCATACAATCATGACACTTCAACTACCAGTCATTGTTCATACAATCATGACACTCCAACTACCAGTTATTGTTTATACAATCAAGACACACATACTGCCAGTCATTGTTTATACAATCATGACACTCCAACTACCAGTCATTGTTCATACAATCAAGACACACATACTGCCAGTCATTGTTCATACAATCAAGACACACATACTGCCAGTCATAGTTCATACAATCAAGACATACCTACAGACCTTGTTCATACAGTCATGACAAATACCACCAGCCCTTGTTTATACAGGTATTACATACCTTCAGCCCTTGTTCATACAGTCATGACACATACCACCTACCCTTGTTCATACAAGCATGACAGATACCACTAGACTTTATTCATACAATCATGACAGATAACACTAGCCCTTGTTCATACAGTCATGACACATATACCAGCTCTTGTTCATAGTCATGACACATATACCAGCTCTTGTTCATACAGTCATGACACATATACCAGCCCTTGTTCATACAGTTATGACGCATATACCAGCTCTTGTTCATACAGTTATGACGCATATACCAGCTCTTGTTCATACAGTCATGACACATATACCAGCCCTTGTTCATACAATCATGACAGATACCACCAGCTCTTGTTCATACAGTCATGACAGATACCACCAGCTCTTGTTCATACAGTCATGACACATATACCAGCTCTTGTTCATACAGTCATGACGCATATACCAGCTCTTGTTCATACAGTCATGACACATATACCAGCTCTTGTTCATACAGTCATGACACATATACCAGCCCTTGTTCATACAGTCATGACAGATACCACTAACCCTTGCTCCTACAGTCATGACTTACTTCCAGCTTTTTGTTTATAAAATTACGGCATACTTCCAGCCCAAGTTCATACAGTATGACATGCTTACAATCCTTATTTATAAACTCATGACATACCACCAACATACTGTCATAGATTGATAAAATAACAAGGCTGTGAAAGGTCCAGGGTGAAAAGGATGAGAATGTTTTGTCACTTTTGGGCATTTCTGGAGAAAATAAAGAATGTTTGGTCACTTTTGGGCATTTCTGGAGAAAATAAAGATTGTAGATGTACATAATTTCATGAAATGCAGCAAATTTTGTAATAAAGAGTTGAAAAAAAATTTTTTTTTTGTAGACACCTGGGAGTTGAATGCACAAACACTTCCGGCAAGATCAAAGACAGAAGGACGAGAATCGAGAACTTTGCCAAACGATTCATCATTGGCAGGTGTTGCAGCCGTCTGGAAGCCAGGGGGTACCCCAGTCACTGTCAAGAAGGAGTACCGGCCTGTCAAGTTGGATACCAGCAAGAAGCTACAGTCTCAGAAGTCTCAGGAACAGGTATGTATGTTTTAAGCTTCAAACAAGTATTTTGTTTATGTTTCCAAAGATGAGTATTCTAGTAGTTGTGTGTACATATCTCTCATTGTTTCTACACACTAGTCCTCTTTTGGTTTTTCTGTGATCATGCCTCTCATTGTTTTTATATGTTAGTCCTATATTGTTTGTTTTTTTCTGTTTATGTGTACTGAGCCGGGAATGCAGAGACTGGCCAGCAGGTGCCACAGAGATGGAAATTCAGCAATTTCTTCAAGATAATGCTTGCTCAGAGGATTTGATCATTTACACAGACGGTTCAGTGTCAAGAGGCAAAAGAAGTGCTTGGGGTTTCTTAGCAAATGTTAATGGTCGACTTTTGGTGCAGGAGAGCCTAGTATATGATACCTCAACATCCAACTTAAGAATAGAGGTGGAGGTGGTCACTGCAGCTTTCCGCTGGTTAGAGAAAACGACACACACACACATTGTGATTGTGACTGTCCCAGAAAGCATGCTGAGGAAAATCAGGACAGGCATGCTTTGTGCAGAGTGGCATGCTTCGCTGCGGAGGTCATGGGTGAGGATTATTGTCTGGATTTTTCTCCAGGTTACGCCGGTGTGTTGGGAAATGAACAGGGGGACAGACTGGCTGGCTCTGCACAACTTGGGGGAATACTGATGCATGATAAAGCAGACATGGCTAGCACCTTGTGAAAGAGCGTGTACAGTTCGAAGGAGTAGATGGATCACCACAGTCTGGTGAGATTGATGCAGGGGGGAGTGACGAGAGGTTCTGGCAGATGCTCGAGGCTCAGAGGAAACGCAAGACAGATGTTTAATCAGAATGCTACTGGCACCATTAGAATAAGAACTCTTTGCTGGCTGCTGAAGATGGGGATGAAGGGCTTATGGGAATGCCCCTAGTGCTGTGTCGGTTCTTGAATCAAATCAAATCAAATCTATTTACGTGTGTCTCATTGTTCTATTCACTAGTCCTCTTTTGGTTTTTCTCTGTACATATCTCATTATTTTTGTTCAGTAGTCTTCATTTGGTTTACCTGTGTAGGTGTCTGTCATGATTTCTATAAACTAGTCTTCTTATGGTTTTCCTGTGTAGGCGTCTGTCATTATTTCTATACACTAGTCTCTAGTCATTTTTGAGTGAACGTGTCTCTGATTGTTCATATACAGTCATTGAATGTATATAAGACTGTTCACATGATGAGTATCTCCCCACCACTCTTACAGATCTCCAGCTATATGCGGTTTCCAGAAATCAGAACTGACAAATCGCTGATCCTAACTACGTCATTATGTTTCAGTTCCCAGCACCTCCTGAAGAGTCATTTGCCTGGAAACCCCCTCCTCGCACAGAGTCCGTCAACTCTCTTCCAACATACACCCCTCTAGACCTGTCCTCAGACTCAGTATTCCAGTCCTCGCCAGCAGCATCCACAGCATCATTCAGTACTGTGTCCACGTCTGCCAGATCCGAGCTTCCACACAGCCAACACATGAATGGCGACAGCCTTGATGATGACAGTCGGCTACCTCCAACACAGAGTCCCTATGTTACCTTGCTGCAGAAAAGCCGAGGTAATCTAAAGGCTGTCACATTTTTGTTGGTTATGTTTTCCTGCTTGTTTGATTGTAAGCTTTACTTGCATGTTTATGTCAGCATAGTTTGTTGCTCTGTTATTGTACTTGTTATTTTATCTCAGTGTTCTCTCTTATATGTTTGTTTATGGTTTAACTCATTATTCTTGAGATATTGCTGTCAGTTTAACAGTTGGATAGATTTTGCATGTGTTATAATATTATTTCTATATTCAATTCTTCAGTACCAAGAAGCACATCACCTGCTGATTTAAAACTAATATAACTCTAGTACTGCAAGGGTTGAACTGCATGAACAGTTGCTTCTCACTCATATCTCCACTTTGCCAACTGCAAAAACCTTCGGGTCTCTATGACTGTAGAATTGTTCCTAAGCTGACATAATTCACAACTAGGTCCTTCAGATCACACAGTTCAAAAGTTAATCTCAAAGCAGGCATCTATTGTCCCTTACTTACTGTTATGTCTCCATAGCTTTCCTCCATTATGGTATAAGCTGTCTTAGGTAACATAACTTGATAAAACATTAACTTGTAAATCAAACAATTCCGAAGTATCTTTTGTATAATTGACCCCTCTTTACTGTAGTGGGGAGCTGTCTTAGGTAACATAACTTGATAGAACATTAACTTGTAAATCAAACAATTCCAAAGTATCTCTTGTATAATTGTCCCCTCTTTACTGTAATGGGGACCTTGTTTGTTCCTGTATGTTAGGGAGTTTGTGAATAAAGCCTTTAAAGTCTGACCAGAAAAGGACATACATAAATACAACGGAACATTCAGACCAAAGTCTTTAGTGGAGTAGTAAACTGTCTATAAGACTCATCGAACAAGACAACAGAACTTCTAAACAGTGATGGTCAGCATGAAACCAGAAATGTGTAACAGGAGAAAATATGGACATAAAGAGCTATATTATGAAACTAAACAAATACGAAGGATCCGAACAATGGGGAAGAAAAATATGTAAGTTAAATAAAAATTAAATAACTATGCTAAATATTTCATATAGGGCTTTGAGTTATCACAGACCCTTGTTAAATCCAAAGCCCTGCTTGTGAAAGTGATCTGTATAGGATAGTAGCATGTGATGACATGAGCCTTGCATGTTTTCAGCATTAAAGTTGATGGAAGAAACCAAAGCACAGGGTAAGAGCACCAGCCAGTTAAGTTAGCTTGGACATATATCTTTGTATAAGTTCCTTTTCTATAATGGTCATTGTTTTTCCATTTAAACAAACTTCACAATGCCAGGATTAGATAATAGGTAACCTAATACTGTAGAGTAACAGCCATTTTGCTTGCATTGTTTACAAATTTATTCATAAAACCTGCCCTTTTCAGCTTGTGGCGTTTTATTTCAATGGATTTTTCTGTTTGTAGTTATTTATATAGTTACAAATATACTGGTAACATGGAGATGTAATAGTCTTGTTACAAGCATTGCTGATACCAGTCATTGTTTCACTAGCTGAACTCTCATTTCATTAATAGTTATGAATCCTAAGAATTTTTGGAAAAGTTAATTTTTTAAATCTGTAATGGCTGAATGCCACCTTAGTTCATTAGTTTTAATCAGGTATATAAAAAACAAAAGTAATCAAATAAAAATTGTTTTGCATTATTTTAAATTAAATTTTGCAAATTCATAAATAATGTAAACGAGGCACTTACTGAGTGAAATGATAGCAACAAGTCAGAAAGAACTACAGGAAATGATAGACATTGTAGTGTTAGAAAGTGGAAAAATGGGCCTCAGATTGAATAATGGGAAGACAGAAGTAATGGTGGTATCAAAGAAACAAATTATTCCTAAATGTGTAATAAAAGTCGATGG